AGCTATTGCTTAAAAATCCAAACTCCTGATGGCTTTTCTTTTTTCTTTTTTTTAAAAATTATTTATTCATTTTTGAGAGAGACATCAATTTGTTGTTTCACCCACTTATATATTCATTGGTTGATTTTTTTTTTTTTTAATATATCTTTATTGCTTTCAGAGAGAGGAAGGGAGAGGGAGAGAGAGAGACAGAAACATCAATGATGAGAGAGTCGCTGATGGAGCCCGCAACCCGGGCATGTGCCCTGACGGGGAATCGAACCCTGATCGCCCGGATCCTAGGTCGACGCTCAACCGCTGAGCCACGCCCGGCCGTGCCCTGATGGCTTTTAATCAAGGGTTTTTAAAGGCAAAGATTGAAGGTGAGGGGTTAGGGGGAACAGGCTGGTATGCAGAAGCACTTGGCAGTACAGGTGTTGATTGGAGAGCTTTGGAACTTGGCCATTTATGGTAAAATATGGTAAGGGGCTTCAGCATTGATCTTCCTGCACAAGGGACCCTTTGCTTCTGAAAGGGTTTTGGTGTTCAAATTCTGGTCACGTCCCAGTTCTTTGGTCCTGTGTGTATGTAGCTGGAGGCCAAAGTTCTCTCCTCTGCACATGCTTTGGCTTCATGAGTTGCAGTTTTGGTCTGCTGACTCTGAAAGACAACTGAGTAACTTGTTAGAAACAGGGTAGGACCGTTTTGAGCTGATTCTAAAGTTACAAACACAGTGACTATTAATTCTTCACAGCAATTGGTTATATTAGAATTTTCAGTGGTTACCTATGTCAACCTCAAGAAAGGGGTCAAGTTTTGCTTATGATTTCTTGAAGCAAAAGCAAGAAATGAACCAGGGCAAGTTCGTGTTGCAAAATAAGCTAAATTAAGCTTTGTTTGTATGACTGAACTAGTTTTGTCTCCTTGGAATTGTCAAGGCTGTTATCCATTTGTTTTAACACTGCCATCCATCTTTAACACCAATGCCAGATTCAGTTTTCTAAAACATTCATTATGATGACTGGGCTGCAAACTCACAGGGATGTCATGTAATATTTTAAACTTTTGGGGGAATCTCAGTGATACTAAACATGTGAACTACTAGCTTGAAGTAGGTCAATTTCAAAATTAGATCACACTACATTCCTTTCCTCTTTTTTAAAATTTATCTTTATCGTTGAAAGAATTACAGATGCCCCTTTCCCTATTACATTCCTTTCAACGTCAAACAGGGAATGAAGGCAGTAGTGTCCAATTTGNCAACAGGAATGAGCTGCAGCCCTCCCGATCCCATCCTGTCTCTTGTCTTTCTTTTCCAATCCTCACCCCCTCAATCAGGTTCCCGTTCGACTGCCGGCAGGCTCCGGCAGTAAATAATTGTAGTTACTGAGCAGTGAAATGAAAATTCTTTTCTCTAGATCTTTGTATTATTTTTTCAAATAGCTATTAAGTTGTTAGGCCATAAGTACTTATTTGGATGTAATTACTTGAAGTAGCTAGGTATTTCTTTTGGTGTCAAAAAATATTACTGAGACAATAGGGCCCACACTTCCCACCTTTCCCGTAACTCTGGAGACAGTGGCACTGTGCTGTGCTTGCTGTCCCCTCCTCATTCGTGCCCCTGCTGCAGATGGGGGGGGCTGCAGGCGGCTGCGGGAGGTCCTGTCAACCCCAGCCGCAAAGACCCGCAGGGCCAGGAGGAGAGCTTCCGTACTTTGCCCATGGCAGGAACCTGCTGAACCCAGGGGGTGCACCTCTGAACGCCTCGTGGACCGCCTGTAGGGTTCTTAGTTGCAACAGAAAGTGGCCGATTTCAGCAGACAAAGGAACGTGTTGAAAGGCTGTTTTAAAGCTTACAGAATGACAAGGAATTTAGGACCATAAAGCTGGCTTAACAGGCAGGCATAAGGGAGGTGAGGCATTTGTAATACAGCCAGTGTCACAGACGGAAACAGCCCCGCAGGCCACTGCACCCCTGCTGAGCTTGGCGAACGTGGACACTGCCTCATGCATCACCGGCACCACCCTGCCTGCTGCTGTCACTACACCCCTGCAGTTCCCAAAACCCAGATGTGGCTGCCACCACCAGGGTGAAGTTTCTGCTGTTCTTGGGCACAATTCAAAGCCCCAGAGGGTGTCCAGATTGGCTAAGTCTTAGCCATGTGCCCGTGCCTTGACTGCAAGCAAAGCTGGGATAACCAGTTTCTGCTGTTCAGAGCTTCAAAATCAGGACTCGGGCTCTGGCACTCTCTACCCTCTAGACGCATATGGTAGGGGATTCCCCAAATGTTTATTCAGTTATAGGATTTTAAGCTTGATTTTGGCAATTCCCAAGGCAAAACAAGTGAAACTTGGAGTGGATGTATAGCTACCAGTTTTCAAAGTCCTGGCGATGAAGTATGGGAGTAGTATAGAAAATGAACAAAAGCAATTTAGGTTCTCTGGAAAGCAAGAAGGGGTTCATAGTGGAACATATGCTCCAGTAGAAGTGTTTACATTCAAGAACGAAAAAAAAATAACCTGTTGAAGTTATCAGATAAAAAATTAAATGCTCCCCCTTCACCTTAGTATAAAAACGTTGTTTGCATGGGTGCAAAAAAGAATGGTTTGCCACTGGAGCATCGAAAGAAGTTAAATGTTGATAGAACCGAATGCCTACAAAGGAAGGGTTCGGAAGAAATTATGGACATTATTAAAAGGGGGAAACAAAAACTCATTAGAACATAGACTGTACCTATGGATATTTTCTCTATGTGCTCATTTAATATATTTTTAACATTTAGAACAGGGACCTGGGATATCTCTACATTTAATATACAGGTTGTCCCCAAAAATGTCTACACACTTTAATAATTATTAATTCCAATGAATTAAATCTGAAAAGAAACATCAATTGAGCTTTCAGCTGTTAGTGTATACAGTAGTCTTTGGGGACACCATGTATTTTCAACAATGCTCTGGAGGGATATCTCACTTGAGCGATTGTTTTCAGACTATACAAAGAAACTGGGTTAGGAGTTAGGCAACTGCAAGGGGACCATGAGGCCCTGGAATGCATGATAAATGGATATGGGTACTTCTTCTGTGAACACTTTCCTATGAAGTTACTTTCTTGAGCTGATCTGTATTCTTGCGCTGTGCCAAAGGATAGATTTGCAACTTAATGACTGTTAAATCCGTTAGTGCTGGTGAATCGCTCTGCTCTGGAATTTTATCAGCTAGTAAGAGCAAGCAAACTGCAGAGACAGTTGATAATAAAATTTCTTTAATTAAAAAAAATTATTACTGAGACAATAGGGGCATCATGAACTGAGAAAGTTTGGAAACCTCTGGCCTAAATGATAAAAACCCACACTTCTTAGCCTGGCATTTAAGGTTCTTCAAAACTTCTGGCAACACCATGTATCTTCACTCCCATTATTCCCTGGCTCAATTTTTTTCTTGAATACTTGCTTGTAGTTTGACCCTGGGTGAATCAATTTAACTACTCTGAGCTATTTCCCCAGCTGTAAAATGGAGTAACAGTGCTTACCTTCTGATTGTAATGATTACATGAGAATGTACATGAGGAACATGAACACATTTGGCACATTACAAGTGTTCAGTTAAGCATCAGACATAATCCCTTCTCATTTTGAACCCTCTGAACAAGCCCAGTGTTCTTACTAAGTTTCCCAAGACTCATCTGGATATTCCTCTGCCCTTTTTTCCCAGTCTTCCATGATTTTATTTTCTCTCTGGAGTTTCCCAATGATACTGCCACTCTCCCCAATTCTCCACGTGTTCACCAACCTGGAGGGCCCTCAACTTTTTAGCTAGCCTCTCCAAATGTTACTTTTCCTTCAATTCCCAGTCTACCTTTTTCAAAGACTAGCCCATAGTCAACTACTATAGAACACAATTGTATCACACAACCCATTGTTAATGAAGAATCACCTTTTGTTATTTAACTTGTATATGACCTGCACACTTTTTGTTTCACCAAATACTGTAAGAGTCTGAGGTTAAGAATGTCACACTACATTAAAGATTCCTATAGCATCTAGCAAAGTGGAGAGTGGAGATCACTCTTTGTTGAGTTTGTGTATGAATTTGTTCAGGCTCCAGATCAGAATAAGCACCCAGAATATTACATGTACAAAAGGCAGATGGAGCAGCACAGGTCAGAGGGAATGAGTCAAGAGTGCACAAATGCTGGCTGGTGGTGCAGAGCAGAACCTTGGTGAGACCAGGCCATCAGAGAGCAGGGTCTCTGCTGGCAAGGTGAGTAATGATAGACATTGAAATCAGTATGTTCCCAGGAGTTAACTAGGGAGGCATGACAAGGCGGTGAGGATCCCACACGGAGTTTCCCACCCTCTCCTTCCAAGAAGGAAGTAAACTTTTGGGGGGCCTGAAACAGCAATTATAAATTCATTTGGTGTAAACAACTTTTTAAACTATTAACATCCTGAAAATGGTTAGAAAATGTTCAGTCCTTCTCATTGATGAGATTTAACTGGGTTGCCCCCTCAAAACATGTGGGGCGTAACCAACTGCACAAATGTTTGTGGCGAAGGCAAAGACTTTTAGCTCTATAAGTTAGGGTGGGGGCATTCATCGCTTGATTGGGTGGCTCTGGGAAGCTTCAGTAATGCTGTGCCTTTGGTAAACCAGGGTGAGGCAGCCTGCTATGGACTTCAGCTGATTAAGGATCCATGAAGCCAGGTCCCGGATTGGCCATACAAAGCCAATAGCAGGCACACAACCACGCTTAGGAATACAGGGAGAACACAGGCAACTCGTGACACAAACCTGTGACTGGAGCCTGGCACCTGCTGCTACAAGCAGGGAATGCCCCCAGAAGACTAGCTAACGTTCCTGGAGGACAGGGCGGCGTAGGCATGGAGCACTTAGTGAGTGGAAGAAAGATATTCTGGGTTAAATTGGAGTTGTGAACTTGTTACCTACATTAGTTAAATAGTAGTCAGTGAACATACTTAGGTTAGAAGGCTATTTTCACTTTTCAATGTTGCAATCCAAACAGTTACAGAAATATTTATTTTAAAATTAACACTTTATATATATATATACATATAAAAAACACAGAAGTAATTTAGATTAAAAGCTCCAAGTTGTATTGTTTCAGGTAGGTGTTACTGCTATCTATACCTTCACCCCATTTAGTAAGCCATTTCAAGTAACTTAAGTTCACAAATTTATGAGGTACAGAGCCCAACCAGGATGGGAAAGAATGTGTTCCAAATCAGAAGAGGGCTGTGTGGCTCCTCAGTGATGTTCCCTGTGGAGCACCTAAGCTCCAATGTACAATTAAGGGTTTCTTCCCACACATCTGAGTGTGACCTTTTGGGTCCTCTGGCAGTGGCTGGTTTAGTCTCCTGATTCTAACGGCATGTCGCACTGTTGCCTAGGAGCTGATCCAAGTTTCCAGACCCCTTTCTTGTAGACTTCTGACCAATGTGAAGGTTGGGAACACTTGCTTAAAGGAGGAACCGCCATTCCAGCATAAACTGTCCTTAATCCTACTGCCAAAACTGTTTTCATTCTAGGGATGGTAAGATTACGGCCAAGAAGCAAATATCCTTAGTGGCTTTCTCTTCAAGTTAATTCCCAAGAGAGCCATCTGGCCACTTGCTTTTTATCACATTTCTAATAGCTGCTCCATTTCCTCAAGGGCTGTTGTAAAATCATTTACTTGGCTGTTACATAAGATCTGCTGTTCTAGGAACCGGGCCCTCTCTTCTTCTTTCATCTTCAACTTTACTTTTAATGCCTGCATGGAAAGATATTCAAAAAGAAAAAACCAAAACTTTGAAACATTATGCTTCTATTCCATTGAGGAAGAATTATCTGTATTTGTAGGGGAATTGAATTCTGTTTTTCTTTGCAAATTTTCTGTAAATCTAAAATTATCACAAAAGTTTATTAAAAATAAATACATAAATAAGCAAAAGCCCTCCATAGATCCACCTACTGTCGTAGGAAATGGTAATGTTGCTTCAGAGTGATGCCTGCCTCTTACCTGTAACTCTTCCATCTGCTTTTTGGCTGTTTCATTAAAAAGCTTCAGTTCATCTTGCAAAGTTTCTAACAGCAACTAAGAGGAAAGTACAATGTAGTAATGAATCTTTATTGATATGTGAACACTTTCTTCATATAAACTAAGCTCTTTGTATCAAAGGAGAGTTGAATTAGATGATCATTCAGTCGTTTGCTGAGGGTCCACATGCATCGGGCTCCCTACTGGGCACCCAGGAGGAACTCAGTCCTCAGGAGGGACTACAGAATACCCCACTTCCATGAGCCCTGCTACACAAGCAATATGAGCAAACAGAGCCACTGAAGGGGTGACTAATGTCCTGGGAAAGCTGAGGATGGTTCCATATCTAGTGTTCTATGACTCTAAGATGACAACTGATCTCCTGATTATAGAGGCTCAAAAGACTTAAATCCCACACTTCAGAGAAGGAACCAAAAAGAAGCCAAATTTAATTCATGTTGAACCTTTGCATTATGGTTTTTAGCAAAGTAATAAGAGAGAAATTTGTTATAGTGTAGGACAGAGAAACCAGGTCTCTCCTATTGTGTGTTTTGAAGTAGTACATTTTCAACTCAAATTCACTCATATTTGTAAGCACAAAGTCACCTGCCAAGTAAAATATGCTATTTTGAGTACATACCCACCCCTCTCCTCTTCCACTACCCTGGATACCAAAGGCTGATCCTCGGGGTTTACTGAGCATATGGCAGAGATCTTAGAGCTGCAGAGCCCCATGGCCACTCAGCCCTCGCCCACTCACACCCATGCCCTCACCATAGAGTCCACATGATCCGGGTTGGATTCTTGCTCTGTTTCCAGGGTTTCAGCGTCTAAACATAATGGAGACAACAAAGTTAGCCTCGCTTAGGGAACTGTACCTTAAACAAACAAACAAACAAAAAAACCCCTCTAGGCAGCTGCTCCGACTCCCCTGAATTTTTACCTTGGCAGTGTTGCCCACATCTGCCTTGAGATATATTTTATCTCCTTCCTTTCTAAGTTTGGATATGGCCAAGAATTCCTCCTCCTTTCTCTTCAGAAAATTTTTCCAAAGGCAATGTTAGGTTGGATTTTTTGTTTACAAAACACGGAACTATTTTTTAAAGCTTTTCAGGCTTTAAATATTTTTATTTTTGGTAAAAGTAGTGCATACACATAGTAAATTAAAATAATGTAAAAATGTACATAAAGAATATATCCTAAATTGCACAGTTAACCAGTAGCATTCAATGTCATCATTCCTTAATTCAAAGAAGACTGGGGCCCTTCCCTGGGCACCCTCAGGTTCCCCAGCTCCGTCTAAGGCCCCTTCCAGTCTCTGGGAAAGCCCTTCTTGTGCTCTCCTCTTTGCTCTACACTCTGCTCTCTAGGGACGGGGTCAGAACAGGAATCACATTTTAACCACGGTGATTCTGATTAGCCAGATGGTACTAGAAACAGCATCATCTCTCTCTCTTCCCACCTGGGAAAGTTAACTGTATACTCTCTTTCTTGAAAGAAATAAAGTATTTCTGGTCTAATTTGCAAGGTCATACCTTTGGGCACCAAATGAATGGCATAAAGTGTTCAGATAAGAAAGCGACAATCCTCTCTCTCTCCACAACCACCTGAAATTTTGTTGGTCAGGCATAGTCAACATCGTCAGCGAATGAAGAGCTCTGAGCTCCTGCACGGACTAGGCCAGCTGCTGCCATGCTGGACTCTTAACACACAGTCCAGAATCATCCCAGGAGAGGGCAAGTGCACTGATTCCTTTGAAGGCCACTGTGTGCTGTTTCTTACCTGGGTTGAGGCCCTTGCTCTCCAAAATTGCCAAACTGTTGTCCTGAAACTTCTGCAGCAGTTCCACCTTTTCGGTCAGGTCCTTCAGTTTTTCCTATTGGGGTGCCATGCAGACAGATCAGGCCTGTTCCACTCCTCAGGGGTGGTCTTTGCTGCCCTTGCTCTCAAGACAGCCACAGCACAAGCCTGGCGTCTTAACTCTCTGCCCATGGGTAGCTGGGCATTACAAGCTTGCTCCCACCTGAGGGGCTGTCCCTCAGGGTCCCACATGCATCACCCAGTGCAGCTGATGGCAGAGGGCTGGCGGGTCTCTTACCTGAGTTTCAGTCAACTTCTGGTGCAACTGCTTGTTGACAGCCTCTAAGATCTGGTTCTTATCCTTGAGCTCTTCCCCCGATTTCTGCTTACTCAGTGGTCTATAGCTGTAATGATAACTGTGCTTAAGGAGGTGGTGGAGGGGCTGAGAGTATGGACTAGGGAGCCTCACAAATGGCTGTCCAAATCCTGGCTTCATCACAGTGCTGTATGACCTTCAGTGAGTTGCAGAACCTCTCTGAGGTTCTGTTTCCTCATTTCTAGAATGAGGATAATATCTACATCTCCGAACATTATTATTGTGAAGGATAAGAGAATACATGTACCATTTTTAGCTAGCTACTGACACTTAGTAACTTAGAGTTCTTCTTGGACAGTATTTTGTTTTCAGAACTTTTAAGACATGCCCAGGTTTGGAATTAGAACCTATTTCTACAGACTTTTCAGCTTACATTATTTCTGTCTCAGGACTGCAAAATGTCCCAGCTGGCCCCAAAGACAGAAACATGGACCCTTCTCCTGGGTTTCGCCTTCACCAGCATCAGCAGCAGGAGCACTATGAGAAATGCCATCTTGAAATCACTAACTACACGCAGCCCCTCCTATCCTGTGATAGGTCATAGATCATAGCTGGGTTTTATTTCCAGACAGCAGTGGTCCTGGCATAGAGCCCAAAAAGCTCTTGAGTGGCACTCAAGATGGTAGCTTCTTCACTGATCTTGCCCCAAGAGTGTTTCTCAAATATGGCTTTGCCTCACCCCTGAAAATTCCATTCAGATTTCTGGGGGTGGCACCTAGACTGTAACACATTAAACAAGTCCTAACAAATCCTATATAACTAGGACTGAGATCTACTAAAATGGTACCTAACCTTCATTTACCCTGATGCTCACCTCTTTTTGACATTCCTCTTGATGGCAGTATCTGCAGCTTTCACCTGCCTAGAGATGCAAAGACACAGAAATCAGGATGTTCACTTGACTTACTGTGGTGAACATTTTGCAGTATCTACACATATCAAATTGTTATGTTGTACACTTGAAACTATAATGTGGTCAATAATACCTTAATTACAAAACAACAAAGGAATCAATCAGAGAATTGTAATATATTGTTACGTGTTGTGAACAAAGCAGAAGAAAGAGGCTGGTTTTTTGAGGACAGAACCAGAGATTTTATACAATGCAAACAGCACAAGACTTAGCTCTGAAACATGCATGTTGTCTCAGCCCAGATTATTGAAAAAGGCTTATTAACAGAGAATGAAATCCCCTCTTGCTCAACACGGAGTGACTATCTCACGTCAACCTCACTTACATGGGGACTGAGCACTGGGTGGAGGGACACTAATGCACACTGCGCTGGACTATGCTCAGACCAGCTACAGAGGCTAACAACTAGCCCCACCCGCCATGACTACTATTTAGGGCTGGTGTATGACCACAGTGGTGCCATCTGTACACTGAGAGCAGTGGTGAGAAAGGAAACAATGCCTCTTATCATGACCCTTGCTGTGCCTCTTCAGAACTGACCAACATAGAGGCTCCTGAAAACCACTCAGCAATACTGCACTGCTCTGGGTCACCGACTCCCGGCCACTTGTTCAGGTGCCTTGTGCTCTCAAAAACCCTCTTTTCTAATTCTTGGTACTGAGATATTTTTAGCAAGGTGTTCTAACTGGATACCAATGACCTGACCCACCCAGTCTCTCGCCTTGGTTTGATGATTTTCATAACATCATTTTCTGAAACTCCTGGATGAAGAATTCTGGAAACATCGACTTCTTTAGACTTAACAGGTAATAAGCTCTTAGAAGTGGCTCGAGTTTGTGAGTCTGCAAAGGAAAACAGGAGGGTAAAACCTCTATAACAAACGGAGCTCCATTCTAAGTTGCCAGAAATGTACTTCATTTTGGCCTATCTCAATTTGTGAAAATTAATTCAGAAGGATAAGAATTCTAGACTCCTTGGGGATAGAAACCAAAATTCTTTAAATGTGACAGTGCAGTGTGTTTCAGGGTAGCGAAAAGCTGGATGACAAAGCAAACGGAATGGCCAGAGGGTCAAAGTGGAGGCTGACACAAGCCAAGAGCTGAATGCGAGGCAGTGTGGCGGTGAGCAGGGCAAAACACGCTGAATCCTTCATCAGACAGCCGAGGACTCGGGCCATCCTGTTGAGCTCCTAGGCACTTGGCACGCTCTCCCGAGGCCACACTCAAGCTGCTTCGAGTTTCTCTTTTCATCGCTTTAGCTGTTTTGACCAGACTGTCTCCTTAACTACTCTAAAATGCGTCTTTGTGTCCCAGTGCTTAGGAGAGCATCTGGCATACGAACAGAGGTTCAATACCTGCTGTTGAGTAAACAGTACCCTTCAAAGTTTCGTGGGTTATTTCACAGACCATCTGTAAAGAATCTCCTCTAGTCTCCTTTCCCTCTTCCATGCTGATTACCTTTACCGCCGGCCCTTTTAATATGTTTACCCATCACTAAGTTCAGAGGTTACCATCTAGCATTCTGTTCTGATCCTCTTGCTAGGCTATGGCCAGGTAACCGAGAAACGGCCCTGCCCAGAGGGCGGGATTCCCTGACCCTCACACTACCCTCCACCACACGCTGCCTTTCTACCATTTATATTCCATACCAAATTCAAGTAGTAACTTGTTCTGGGGTTAAGTACCCTCCCTCCTCTCCCCAACACACACACACACACACACTTTTCTAGTTTACACTTTTACTTTATTCATTGTAAAATGGCTCCTTTAAGCTTAACCTAAATAAAGAAAGAGCCATAACAATGAAATCAAGTTGAAGAAATGAGGTACAAAGCACTAGATCACAGGGATTAGGAAATTTTGTATTTATGTTTGAAAAAGATTTTGATGACTCTAACTTCACAATAATATGATTATTGTGGAATAAATATGATTTCTCAGGTTAACAAATTATTTTATTTATAGGTATACTCACTGAGGACTTACACCCAATTTTCCATACTCTTATCCACAAAACAAAGATTAAAAGGGTTCTTTTTGAGGTCTCTGTCTGAAGTAAAAGGCAANCACACACACACACACACACACACACACACACACACACACACACACACACCAACACACACACACACACACACACACACACACACACTTTTCTAGTTTACACTTTTACTTTATTCATTGTAAAATGGCTCCTTTAAGCTTAACCTAAATAAAGAAAGAGCCATAACAATGAAATCAAGTTGAAGAAATGAGGTACAAAGCACTAGATCACAGGGATTAGGAAATTTTGTATTTATGTTTGAAAAAGATTTTGATGACTCTAACTTCACAATAATATGATTATTGTGGAATAAATATGATTTCTCAGGTTAACAAATTATTTTATTTATAGGTATACTCACTGAGGACTTACACCCAATTTTCCATACTCTTATCCACAAAACAAAGATTAAAAGGGTTCTTTTTGAGGTCTCTGTCTGAAGTAAAAGGCAACATTGGGGGAACATATTTACCTTCTCCTCTCTCAAGTAGTCATAAGTTATAGATGATAACAAGGTGTTAACGGTAAATTGATCAAAATTAACACTTCTTAAAATGAGAGCTGCTAGGAGAGAAACTGAATGGCTGGTGCTCAAAGGAGGAAAGAGGACTTGTTTTTCATGGCATATCATTTTCTAACTTTGGATTTTTTTTATGTGTATATGTTACCCATTTAAAAACCTAAAACTCGGAGTTATGTAAAACCTGGAGTGATGTAAGCATCATGGCAGAGTGAGAAAACCCCTTTGTTTCTCCCCTTAAGTTTACAAGTTCGGCAACTATAACTCAACAAAGGATCCTCTGCTCAACACACAGACATGCCTAAAAATCCATCCACTAGGACACCTGAAGGTGGGTGTACTAGAACAAGTAGGGAAGGCAGGATGGGGGAAATAGAGGAATGGGGCCCCCCATGGCTCCAGTGAACAAGTTAGCAGTGAAGTCAGGCTGCAGCCCTCACACAAGGGCTGCAAGAGGGGCAGCAGCAGTGTTCCTCTGGGGAAAGGCATCTCCCTTCTCCCCTCCCCATTGTGGCAGACCCCAATAGAGGTGGCTGGGAAACCTTAAATAGTACAGCAGTGCTGACAAGGAGGGGGGCAGAGTCATAACTTGTCTCCCCTGCCCCACCCATCCCAACAGAGCCAGGAGGAGGCAGTGAAGATGCCTCCAAAAAGACAGCAGGGCCAACGACCATTAGGAAAAGGAGATAATGCACAAAACCAGTACTCTACCATCCACCACATCCCCCACCACAGTGACAGTGCCCTGTAACTGAGGCCACCCAGTCCCAGAGGGGACACCAACCACCCCTGTGGGTATGCAACATTTTTCTTAACTCAGGTGACATCGCTCCACCATGAACCCAGAGGTGCCAATATCACAGGTAAGAGAAAACAAAAACTTAACACTATAATACCATCAAAGTAAAGTACCCTACCTAGCAAACTCCTGAATTATTGAGAGCAAAATAGTACCTAAACAAGAAAAGAGCGCAGTACCTCAAATGTTCAGGTGGAGAAACAATTCATTAAATACCAGGAACAACCAAGATAACATAGGAGAACAGAAAGAAAATGAAAAGTCTCCAGAAATCAAAGTCGTGGAAGGCTGTGACTTAAAAAACAGAGAAGTTAAGCCCAGCCAGTGTGGCTCAGCAGTTGAGCATCAACCTATGATCCAGGAGATTACTGTTCAATTCCCAATCAGGGCACATGCCCAGGTTGTAGGCTCGACCCCCCAGTGGCATANGTTAAAAAAATTTTTTTTTTAAAAAAACACACAAAAAGCAGAGAATTTAAGATTGCAGTTATGAAAAAGTTCAACAAGATACAAGAGGACTCAGAAAGGTAGTAAAATGAGTTCAAGAATAAAATTAATTCAAAGGAGTACTTTACCAAAGAGATTTAAACTATAAAAAGGAACCAAACAAATTCTGGAGCTCAATAAATGAGATGAGGAGTGCACCAGAGAGCACTGGAAATAGAGCAGACAAGATGAAGGGAGATTTAGCAAGCTCAAAATAGAAACCTAGAAATGACCCAGGAGGAAGTACAGAGAGAACTAAGAGTAAAAAAAGAAAAAAAAGAAAGAACTCTGTCTATGAGAACTATCTGACTCCACTAGAAAGAGCAACATAAGGATAATGGGAATGCTAGAGAAGAGGGAGAAGGAAACAGAGCCTCGGGAGAGAAATAATTGATGAGAACTCCCAAACCTATGGGAACAAATGGACTTTAGAATAAGGGAAGCTAACAGGACACCTAATTTTATCAATGCAAAAGATCTTCTCCAAGATGATTTTATTCAAACTGTCATAAATTAATGACAAAGAAAGAATTCTCAAGGCAACCAGGGAAAAGAAGACTGTAACCTACAATGGGAACTCCATTAGATTACCATCAGATTTTTCAGTAGAAATACTGCAAACCAGGAAAGAGTAGAAAGAAATATTCAAAATATTGAAAGACAGGAACCATCAGGCAAGGATAATATATCCAGCAAAGTTATCCTTTAGCTATGAAGAAATAAAAGCTTTCCCAGACAAAAAAAGAAAAAGCTGAGAGAATTTACTACAGTACCTGCATTAACAAGAAATGTTGAAAGGAGCTCTTCTACTGGAAAACCGAGAAAAGTATACAAAACTTTGAGCAAGATGACTAACATACAGAAGCAGAAGCCTACAACTCTGCTTCAGAGTAGGAGAGTAAACACTTAATTATAACAAAGGTTAAGGAGAAAAAGAGGCATTAAAAAATTACTATAGCTACTGCAACTTGGTAATGAATGCACAGCATAAAAAGGGGTAATTTGTGACAACAAAATCACAAAAGGGAAGAGAAAAAGTACTGAATACGTACAGGTGAATGAAGATATGAGAATATCAAAAGCAGGACTATTGCATGTGTGAGACATTTTACATAAACCTAATGCACCTACAAAACAAAAACCCAGAGCTGAGACACAAAACATAAAAAAAGAGGAAACGAAGGGGAAAAAATCATAGAAAACCACCAAATTAAAATAGCAGACAGAACAAGGGAAAAGAAACAATGGAGACAGAGTGACCAGAAGACAAAAGATAAAATGGCTGTGGTTAGAGCCTCATATGTTATAATCACCCTAAATGTAAATTACTAATTACCAATCAAAAGGCACACAGTAGCAAGATAGATTAAAAAACAAGACCAAACTATATGTTGTCTGCAGGAGACTCAGCTCCAAAGATAATCATAGGCTTTAAAGTGAAGGGGTGCGCCAGGCCGGTGTGGCCCAGCGGTTGAGCTTCGACCCATGAACCAGGAGGTCATGGTTCGATTCCCGGTCAGGGCACATGCTCGGGTTGTGGGCTCGATCCCCAATATGGGGCATGCACGAGGCAGGCAATCAATGACTCTCTCATCATTGATGTTTCTATCTCTCTCTCTCCCTCTCCCTTCTTCTCTCTGAAATCAATAAAGATGTATTTTAAAAAAATAAATAAAAGAAAAATAAAGTGAAGGGGTGGAAGATGATACTCCAAGCAAGTGGTATCAGAGAAAAAAGTGGATGTAGCAGTACTTATATCAGACAAAATAGATTTCAAGATAAAAAAGGTAAAAAGAAACAAAGACGGACATTTTATAATGATAAAGGGGATAATTCATCCAGAAGACATAATACTTACCAATACATATGTATGAAACCTGGGAACACCAAGACACATAAAGCAATCACTAACAGACCTAAAGGCAGAAATTAACAAAACTACAATTACAGTAGAGGGCCTGAACACCCCACTTACAGCAATGGACAGATCATCCAGTCAGAAAGTCAGTAAGGATATATTGGCCTTAAATGACACATTAGACCAAATGGACTTAATTGATATTTACAGAACTTTCCATCTCCAAACACCAGGATACATTCTCAAGTGCACACCGAACAATCAAGGATAGACTGTATGTCAGGACACAAAACCAGTCTCAATAAATTTAAGACTGAAATCATACCAAGTGCGCATATATATATATATATAAATATATCTTTATTGATTTCAGAGAGAAGAAGGGAGAGGGTGAGAAGGACAGAAACATCAATGATGAAAGAGTCATTGATTGGCTGCCTCCTGCACGCCCCCGACTAGGGATCAAGCCACAATCTGGGCATGTGCCCCGACCAGGAATCGAACTGTGATCTCCTGGATCCTAGGCGGATGCTCAACCACTGAGCCACGCCGGCTGGGCCCAAGCATATTTTCTGACCAGAGTGGTATAAAACTGGAAGTTAATTACAAGAAGAAAGCTGGAAAAAATCACAAATATGTGGAGATTAAACAGCATGATACTGAACAACTACTGGGTTAAATTAGAAATAAGAAACCAAAAGATACATAGAGATGAATGAAAATGAAGATATGACATAACAAAATTTTAGGGGTGCAGCAAAAGCGGCACTAAGAGGGGTGTTTATAGCATTATAGGCCTACCTTAAGAAACAAGAAAAATCCCAAGTAAATAATCTAACATTACACCCTAAAGAACTAGAAAAAGAACAAATGAAGCCCAAAGTTAGTAGAAGGAAGGAAATAATAAAAAGCAGAGCAATAAATGAAATAGAGAAAAGACAATAGAAAAAAATTAATAAACAAAGAACTGGGTCTTTGAAAAGAAATAAAACTGACAAATCTCTGGCTAGAGGAGAAAAGAGTCAAACAAAATCAGAAACAAAAGAGGAAGTTACAATGGACACTGCAGAAATACAAAGGATTATACTAGAATACTATGAAAGGATATACTGTACACCATCAAACTCAATAACCTAAAAGAAATGTACAAATTCTTACAAGTATACAACTTCTAGAGTGAATCATGAAGAAGCAGAAAACCGCCCTAGCCAGTTTTGCTCAGTGGTTAGAGCGTCGGCCTGTGGACTGAAGGGTCTTGGGTTCGATTCCAGCCAAGGGCACGTAATTCAGTTACAGGCTTGATCCCCAGCCCTGGTCAGGGCACATGTAGGAGGCAACCAAAAGATGTGTCTCTTTCACATCAATGTCTCTCTCTCTCCCCCCGCACCCCCCTCCCCCCGGCTCCCTTCCATTCTCTCTGAAAAGCAATGATAAAAATATACTCAGATGAGGATTTTTTTTAAAAGTAGAAAACCTATATAGATGGGTCACTAGTAAGGAAATTGGAACAGTAATCAAAAACCTCTTAAAAAACAAAAGTCCAGGACCAGATGACTTCACTGGTGAATTCCACCAAATATTCAAAGAAGATTTAATACCAATCCTTGTGATTTTTTTCCAAAATAATTGGAGAAGACACAATACTTCCTAACGTTTTATGAGGCCAACATTACCCTCACACCAAAACCAGGCAAGGATAACACATACACACAAAAATTACAGGCCAATATATCTTATAAACATAGATGCAAAATCCTAAAAAAAATACTAGCAAAATAAATACAGCAATATATTAAAAGAATCATAGATCATGATCAAGTGGGGTTTATTCCAGGGATGCAAGGGTTCAACATCCACAAATCAATCAATGTGATTATAACAATAGATGCAGAAAAAGCATTTGATAAGCTGTAACATCCACTTATAGTTAGACACTCAATAAAAATGGGTATAGAAGGAAAGTACCTCAACATTATAAAGGCCATATATGACAAACCCTCAGGTAACATCACACTCAGCGGTGAGAAACTGAAACTTCCTCTAAGAAAAAGACATGGACGCCCACTCTCATCACTGCTATTCAATAGTACTGGAAGTCCCAGCCAGAACAATCAGACAAAAAGAAAAAAAAAAAAGGCATCCAGTGGAAATGAAGAAGTAAAACTGTTTTCAGATGAGATGACTCTCTATATAGAAAACCCTAAAGATGCCACCAAAAAACTATTAGAAACAACAAATAAAGTTGCAGGATACAAAATCAATATATAAAAGCCTGTTGCATTCCTATATACTAACAATAAAATATCAGAAAGAGAAATAAAGAAAACAATCCTATTTGCGATCACAACAAAAAGAATAAAATACCTAGGAATAAAGTTAACAAAGGAGCTGAAAGATATGTATACTGAAAACTACAAGACACTTGTTGAAAGATTTAATACAACCCCTATCAAAGTCCCAATGGCCTTTTTTCAAGGAAATAGAACAAAACATTCCTCAAATTTGTATGGAATCACAAAAGGTCCCAAGTAACCAAAGCAATCCTGAGGAAAAAGGACAAAGCTAGAGGTATCACACTCCCTGACTTCAAACTATACTATAAAGCTACAATAATTAAAACAACATGGTATTGGCAGAAAAACAGAAACACAGACCAATGGAACAGAACTGAGAGCTGAGAAATAAACCCGCACATGGACAACAAATTTTTGACAAAGGAGCCAAAGACATACAATAGAGAAAGGAAAGTCTCTTCAATAAGTGATGTTGGGAAAACTGGAAAGCCACACGCAAAAGAATGAAACTAGGCTGCTTATTTGACACCATACACAAAAACTAATTTAAAATGGAGTAAAGACTTGAATATAAGACCTGAAACAATAAAATACATAGAAAGAAACATAGGCACTAAACTTATGGATCTTGGTCTTACAGGGGTTTTTGTGAACTTGACCCCAAAGGCAAGGGAAGTAAAAGGAAAAATAAATCAATGGGACTACATCAAACTAAAAAGCTTCTGCACAGCAAAAGAAACCATCAACAAAACAAAAAGGCAACCAATGGAATGGGTGAAGATATTTGCAAATGATACCTCTGGTAAGGAATTAATATCTGAAATATATAAAGAACTCATACAACTCAACAACAACAATTCTATTTAAAAAATGGGCAGAAGACCTGAATAAACACTTTTACAAGGAAGTCACATATGATCAACAGAAATATGAAAAGATGCTCAACATCACTAGTCATAAGGGAAATGCAAATCAAAACCACAATGAGCTACCACCTCACACCTGTCAGAATCCTGGAGAAGCTCTGGAAAAGGGAACCCTGGTATACTGCTGCTGGGAATGTAAATTGGTGCAGCCACTATGAGAAACAGTAAGGAGGCTCCTCAAAAAGTAATAGAGCTAACATATGAGCCAGCAATACCTCTTCCGGGTATCTACCTTAAAAATATGAAACCACTTATTTGTAAAGATATGTGTACCACTGTGTTCACTGCAGCACTATTCACAATATTGTCAAGACATGGAAACAACCTATGTGTCCTTTGACTGATGACTGGAAAAACAAGATGTGGTACATATATGCAACGGAATACTAAAAAAATAAAATAAAAATCAATCAATAAAAAATATTTATTTTTTTAAAAAAAACGACGTCGGGTGCTGAGCTAACAGGTATACAGATGCTGTATTATAAAGTTGTACACCTGAAATTTATATAATGTTATTAACCAATGTTACCCCACTAAATGTAATAAAAACAAATAAAAAAACTAAAACTTAAGAACAACCAACCCATGCCCAACACAAAAACAAAAAACCTGGAAGAAGGCCTAAAAATGTTAAATTATTGAGGCTACATAAGATCACAAAGCTGGGACAGGGGCAGAAAGCAAAAAGATGAAAACTTGGCTGGGGAGAGCCAGTCACTCCCCACTGACAGGCACTGCACTCTAAGGGAAAAGCAGGGTAAACAAACGTGGCACTTGTTCCCGGGTCACTCCTAGATCCTGCTAATGGCAGGATTACCAGTCAGGTGTTCTGAGGTAATATAAGCAGGACAACCCTTTAAACCAGCTCCATGGAGTAACTGAGAAGGGATCTTAAAACAGCTGCTTCAAAATCTCCCACAACAAGTTCTTTTCTTTTTTTTTAAAATCCAGGATTAATTTAATTTTAAAAACAAATACAAGCTATCGATTCACTCTTCTTAACCTAACCGGACAGTCTACCTGTCCCACAACAGGTTCTGATGACTGAAGCTTATTTTGTGCTACAATCTCTAGATTAGGCAGCTGAACACCTGCAGACCCTGTACAATGACTTTCAACCACAGGCCAAGTAACGAAAAGCAAGATGGCAAAGCAATAAACAAGTTTTAATCAGGTCTCTTCTCCCAAGTTTCTCGAATGCTTTACGTAGGCCTGAGCCCCCTCTCTCACTTCACTCAACACATGTTTATTGAGAATGAACTACATGAGACACACCAGGCAGATACAAATGTAAACCAGACAAGCTGGGGAACCCTAAAGCCACCCCCTATGTATCTTGCTTCCCAAATGAACTCTCCTCCGTCCTCCCAGACAACAAACTCGGTCCCTCCAGACAGCGCAAGTATGGAAATAAAACCCGTAATTGTTAACAAAGGGCTTCCCAGCTTAATGGGAACAATATTGTAGGGCAATCAGCAACTTAAATCTAATTGGTAATGCAGCCCGGTCAGGTTTGGGGAAGCAAGGGGTGCAGGGCAGGTCTAAAACCCTACCGCACGCCTCTCTTCCCCTAACTCCCACATTAAAGCCAGACCCGACGGCTCTACCGGAGTCCGCAGGTCGTCAGCGCCGAGGGGATGCCCTCCCCCACCCCTGCCTGCGCCTCCCACAGCGGCCAACGATTCGATCCTCCATCTTTCCCGGGGGGAAGGGGGGTGGACACCCACCTGCGGGCGGGCCGCCGCTCAGCACCGAGGGGGGCTGCAGTGTGCACACTGTCTTAACCACGCCGGCCATCGTAGCGAGGTGGCAAGGCTGGGCCCTGGAAGGTGGAAGGTGAACGTTACCCGGTGGTCCAGGGTGTCGCCCCCCACCCCCAGGAAGTGGAGGGCCCGGGGAGAGCGCGACCTAGCCCGTCCCGGCTCCGGGGAGGAGTAAGGAGAAACTCCTCCATAT